TACCGTGCCGTTGACAGACATAAGATATTCATTTTTATTCTCCTGCCATTTTTCCTGGTAGTAATGGAAATGCCTTAATGCACACCATGATCTTCACTCCGGATTATCCGATAAAAATAGCACTAAAATTTTCAAAGAAAAAAACGAAACGAAAATGCCTCCTTATTGAGGCGGTGTAATAACACTTTCATCACATGCGTTACCCGGATTATTTCAACGCGTTTGGCAGGATAAGTACTAAGTGTATTATGGAATTTACATTTGATTTGCACGTGTAGCGTTATTATGGATATTTCATAAACAGTCAGACGAAATTTAGCTTTTAAACTAAAATTGTGATCGAGTACGACATGAAAGGAATGATGGGTCATCCTTCTAGGACCAAGGTATTCCGTGATAGATGGTGATAGCATCGTATCGACACGACGCTTCGAGAAATGACAAATCTCCATGTCAACGTCAGCATTCTAGCGAAACAAACGCATGGTTAACGATGATTTTGAGCGCCTGGAAAAAATCTTGATGGAACTTAAATTATTCAAACTCAAAAATTGATAACCGATTGGGATGTAATGAAAGTTCCAAATATAAGTTTTTAGAAAGTGTTTTGTTGCTATAAAACATGCATGACTATAATTTGATAAGTTAAACACAAAAGACATATCTTGATAGTTTCCTGAAATAAAGGGAAAATAGAAAATAATTAGCAACTGGCACTACACTTCTGAATTTTCTGTTTACTGTTGTATAGTGGTAATCACACGATTCTGAAACAACGATATGTAATATCAAAGTCGGTTAGCTAGTTGCAATGAATTCCTCAGTCATGTTTTATTTCAACATTCCTAGGCTAGGATTCCAATACAACTTACAAAACTGTATGTATTTTCTTTCTCTCTCTCTTTTTTTTTAAATATAATTATCTACACAACAAACCCGCTCAAATGCAATATACATGTACTTCAAAACCCGATTGTACAGGATTGATCAAAGATGAACGCATAAACATGTTTCTGTTTTACTGAAGATCACTAGGACATGTTTTCCAAGCCGATTTGACGGGATGTTCGTTGTTAACGTGACATTATGCTGTTTCTTCAAAGCACGTGTAGTTAGTGTTTCTCTCGTGGGAACCGATAAAATGGGCCAGAGCGGTTATTGTGTCATAGGAGTAGACCATACATAGGAACAGATAAACACCATCAAATCTTGTTCCTTTGTACGACGGGATATACTCTGTTTTCTGTACTCCAAAAAACTGACACGGATTCCCAGGGGAAGACAAATTTATCATTTTTTTTCTCTGGTAAATATACGGAAATCTATCTCGTGTGTGAAAGAAAAACAGTGCTATTTATGTTGGGAAGCCATTTCTGGAACACACACGCAGACAAGGCTACCGTGCCTGTCTGATAGCGTCATTACGAGATAACTAAAGTATTCACGAATGAACTTTGCTCATGTCGAATATTTGATACAGTAAAATATGAACACGTGTGATGTTAAATGAAGATAGAAGTTTAGAAGTTTTGATTGTGCTGTTTGTAACGCAAAACGACCATTACAAATACCCATACGTGCAACATCTCCTAAAAATATTGAGTGACAGCCTCGTTATCGTGGTCTCCACGCGCCATTGGGTTCTACTTCAGGAGGTTTATCACCATTTGTTTCTCCCACGTGTTGCTGTCTGGTGTCCATGCATGCCAACACGAGTCTTCAGTGACGTTGGCCGATTCTGTCGACATTTACAGTGATTTTTTCCATAATATCCTCGATGTTCTGTTATTGATCCCCATACGTTAGGTACGATATTGTTGTATTAAGGATTAACGTTAACTTACATATTACAAATCTATTTATAGAATTTCGTTCAAATTTTGCTATCTCAACCTTAAGACAATAACTGTAAGCTCTCATGTCCCTTGGATTTATAGTGATCACTGAACCAATAATCTTCAGAATTTTCAGAAATTGTATTTACTCTCGCAAAGTCGTCCCAGGACATCATAAGTGTATCTGAGAAACAATAACATTTGAAGGAAATCCACTGTCAATGGCTAGTGAAAATATGTGTATGACGACAACAAAGATTGTGTACGAGCGTATGACGTCAACGAATTTTGTGTACAAAGAAAAATACTTTTTGACGAGTTTGTTAGCTGTTGTTAAGAGACTTTTGTTTCTCAAAGATTTCTTTGAACGATTCGGTAGGATCTGTAAAATGAGGAATGGTTTGAGAAATTCTACGAAATATTATATCGTTTTAATCATGTTCTTAAATATGCTTTTCTCCTTACTTCTTATTTCCTGCGATTCTTTTCCATCCTATTATGAAGCAAGCTAGCAGGAGCTTTTGTGAAAAACTGTCAAGTAGTCGGGCGTTTACTCACTACTCTACATGAATACCGAAAAAACCCGAATCAAACAGCCCGGTTTCTTTTTTTATGACATCATTATTTTAAGAAAACTACGTGACATTCATAAACTAATGCGGAATGTTAAACGTGCGACACTTAGAACGTCAGTGAGTATACTGGTTAGATACCATAACGTTTCCGAAGACAACTGTCGAGAGACAACTTTTAACCGTCTTGAAACAAATTTGGACGTACATATTCTTCATTTCAACTATCAGGAAAAGCTGTACTGCAAGTATAGTCAATGTTAGAAATCTAGCCCGTAGCTCATAAAGCTTGAACTGTTTCAACGACTTAGAAATCGATATGATCATTTTTTTCCCCCAGATAATTGAACACACCATGATACGTGTAAGAAAATAGAAAAAAACCCTGACACGGCTAGTTCCATTGACATTGCGATGTGTGGACCCAGGATTGGGATTGCAACCAAGGCCAAACGGAGCTGTGGGGGAAACACGGGTAATTAAAGGTATCTTATCCTAGAATATAAGGAGGATCAGTGTAATGATCGAATATAGGTGGCTAAATGCAATGTACCACACATGAAGGTGGCTAAGTGCAATGTACCATACATGTAGGTGGCTAAGTGAAATGTATCAACTATACAACGTAGGCGACTCAGTGTAATGTATCAAATATACAACGTAGGCCACTCGGTGAAATGTATCAACTATAAAACGTAGGCGACTCGGTGAAATGAATCAACTATACAATGTAGGCGACTCAGGGGAAATGTATCAACTATACAATGTAGGCGACTAAGTGAAATATATCAACTATTCAACGTAGGCGACTCGGTGAAATGTATCAACTATACAACGTAGGCGACTCAGTGAAATGTATCAACTATACAACGTAGGCGACTCGGTGAAATGTATCAACTATACAATGTAGGCGACTCGGTGAAATGTATCAACTATACAATGTAGGCGACTCAGTGAAATGTATCAAATATACAACGTAGGCGACTCAGTGAAATGTATCAAATATACAATGTAGGCGACTCAGTGAAATGTATCAAATATACAATGTAGGCGACTCAGTGAAATGTATCAAATATACAACGTAGGCGACTCGGTGAAATGTATCAACTATACAATGTAGGCGACTCGGTGAAATGTATCAACTATACAATGTAGGCGACTCGGTGAAATGTATCAAATATACAATGTAGGCGACTCGGTGAAATGTATCAAATATACAACGCAGGCGACTCGGTGAAATGTATTAACTATACAATGTAGGCGACTCAGTGAAATGTATCAACTATACAATGTAGGCGACTCGGTGAAATGTATCAAATATACAACGTAGGCGACTCAGTGAAATGTATCAAATATACAACGTAGGCGACTCAGTGAAATGTATCAACTATACAATGTAGGCGACTCAGTGAAATGTATCAAATATACAATGTAGGCGACTCGGTGAAATGTATCAAATATACAACGTAGGCGACTCAGTGAAATGTATCAAATATACAACGTAGGCGACTCAGTGAAATGTATCAAATATGCAATGTAGGCATTTCAGTGTAATGGTTCATGTTTAGGCGACTCTTTTTTTATGTATATCATACGAATTATTTATGCTGGTTTATCTCAGAATACTAGGCTACTCATTGAAATGTATCATAACGTGTTTAATGGTTACCTTAATAACTAGATAAATCAGCCGACTCCGTTTAAGTAATGTAGTAGACTTGTCGGCTTAGTTTAATAGACGATACAGTATTTAATGTGTCTTTCCTTATATTATCTGACGACTTCGTTCAAAAGTTTAGATGATGATATAATTCTAATATGATTGCAGTGGTCTGAGAATCTGATTTACAACTTTTATGATAAATACAGCAGATAAATAATGTCTCTGCCCACAGTCGTACACTTCTGTGTATAATATACTATGGTCATTAACTGTCTTTTACAGAAAAGCTATGCGTGGTACATTTTTAATTTGTGTTTGAAGATTAGAAAACTTCTTAGCCAAATGGTTCGTACTTTTTTCATTTGATACTAGTATCCCACCTTAACAAACTAGCATCGGAGAAGAACGGTCGGTAATGCGTCGGTCAATTTACCAAGAGGTCCTAGGGTTGAACCACATGATATCACATCATTACTCTTGTAAAGATTATATTTTCTCCTTAAAAAGTATTTTAGTCTACGCAAATGTAATATGAATATCAGTTTGGGAAGTAATCCGGAATAAAAGACCGTTATCCCTTGGCTATTTATTTTACCTTCATGATCAAAGTTCACATTATAAGAAAGTCATAAAATTCATTACAAGTCGCCGATACATATCTACTATAATGCTGAGGAGCTGAAATAGTCATGTACATATCTATTTTATCAGCGTCATTAATACAATAAGTTTACCCGACGTAGACAGACTTTCGTGTCCAGTCTTAATGTTGTATATAGTCATGGCAGTCATTAACGTATGAATTACACACGGTGGTCGTTACAAAAATAAATAAAAAATACATGTAGAAGGCAGGCGAAACCCGTCGGTCGATCTCTGTAATAGCGCTAACACACGTCTCCATATCTATTTGACGGGATGAATGCTGCCAATACGCTACGCACCGCTCCCAGTACTACATATAAAGCGCTCATTCAAACGGAAGTGGACAAGTTACCCAAGCAAACTCGACCACACTTACACGAGACCTAAAGCAACACAAGTCGATGTGATTAGGAAACCTTTACTGCTGTGGTTGTTTTTAAACACTCGGACAGATGCCGAAAACTCCAGGACGCTGCACGTGCTGCGATCTCAGCGGCGGGTACATATGCTGATATCCTTACACAAACTCTGGAGTGGATTATCGACAGAGGATGATGCGGAAATGAGTCCAAACTCTTCATGGAAGAGGTGTGAAGTTTCACGCACGGGGTGTAGATAGCCGGAAGTGTCTGGATGTAAAGTTTGGGAATTAACTTACCTTGTTTTGGTGAACTTTGGACTTGTTTTATATTTCTCTGTAACTATGAGATGTGATAGTGTACTGTCCATTAAATAGAGTGGACAATAAGGTCCAAGTTTGAGCGAAACCGTTTCTATATTAACAAATGAAGAATGTTTTGAATAAGTGAATCATTTTGTTTGAAAAGGACTTATTTATAAGAGTTTGAAAAATATTCGGCAAACATAAAAGTTAGCTTTGCTGTCAAGTTATACATCAGAGAGGACTGCAAAAGACATTCAGCACAAAACATTCCGAATTTTTAATGCTAAATAAAGAGACACGAGACTTCTGTTTTCAAGAGGTTTTAGACATCGGACTCTCTTGCTGACGACAGCAACTTGTGGAGTGACCCGGTCCCAAGCACCACTCGAGTCTTCGCCAAGGGTAAACGTCACCCCACCATGCTCGTGAACCGGAAGGTCATCTCAGCCTCATAATTCTAGCCACTAGGGGGCGGTTTCCATGTGACAGGAGTCAGGAAGTTAATCACTGTAGCCACTGTTTCGTGACTCCGAAAGGGGGCGTTTTTCTCGTTAAACGATGGGCTATTTTTGAAACAGATTATCTATTGGAACGTTTTTAACGGATGGAATGATATTTGTTTTCTGATTTGACGCTGTTTTGAGTTGATCCCGAGAATCGTCATGGTTTCGATATTGGAATGGATTGTTATTGTAACGGCGCTGACCTATGGAACGCAAGCAGGTAAGGTTCTCATTACAACGCATCATCACACTGGTTTTATCCCAAAATTGGTTGCGTTTTTAGCATACAATTCGTAGTCAACTCGTATAGACAAAAACAAAATAACTGTTTCCTTTTCTCTCTCAAAAAACTTTATGCTAACCGTTCGTGTGATTTTAAAAGCATTTCACCTTTGCTCGTGTGATAACAAAATCGAAATCTACATCATTAGTATGTCTTCCTCTATTATTAAGTGTGTAAGTTTGTTTGAAGTCGAGGGCGTATTGTTTGGCTACTGTCCCAGGAGATATAGGTTTATATCATTACCCTCAAAGGATTTCACGCTGTCTGCTTTATGCATCCTTTATACGTTGTCATGACGTGCTAACCAACTTCCAGATATATTTATTTATACGCCACAAATATTTATATAACATACATAACTGACAATTATATTACGGAGGATAATATGTATATAAATATATAAAACGGATGGGCGGCGAATTTCTTGGTTGTGCTCCACACGTTGTCCGTTGTTAGTAAGGTCTTGCAATGGTTTATGATGTACTGGAATATTTACACGATCTCCCTCTAACAATGTTTATGCTATTACACGCTGTGCAGTAATTATAAGACAATCAATCAAAGACGAGATGTGTTTATATACAAACGTCTCGTGTTGTGTATTGCCCCTTTGACGCCCCTTTGACGCCCCTCATGGCGTTTGTTTAGACAACGTTAAAACCTTCGGTATGGGAAGTCATAGAAGGAGCGACCACTTGGTTCGACATCGGGATCAGTCGACGGTTCCCTCTCCTTGGCAGCCATTGAACCACGGCCACGCGCCGACGTTCTGTGCAACGCCTTTGATCTTAAGGGTGTATGTGCAGAGGTGAAGCGTCTGTGTAACATAATTCTGATGTAGGTTCGCCTCTATTAAAAGAACTGCGCGTGATAAACTTGACTAGATCATAGGAAAAAATGGTGTGAAGGTGTCATGCCATCTATCCTAATGAATTTTGTTGGTTTCTCGAATAAGGAAATTGTAAACGAAGTTTCACGATGCGTAAAAATAATTGAATCTAATTGCTAAATCGTCCCAAAGATAATAAAAAAAATTTGTTCAAACTGAATATGAAAAGATTTAAGACCATTAACAATATCTAGTCATAACGTCATTTCCTCGTACTTCGTTTTTAATGACGTCACGCACTTATATCGTTTTAAGTGCGGATTATATTAGACGTCCTTGTACTATTCCGGGATAACTCAGCTCGAGTAATACATTGAAGCAGACAGACAACCATTCCTAATTTTGTTTAAAAGAGATTTTACATACAGGTACCTATCAATATTATATACGTTCCAATTCAACGCCATCACCACTCCGTCCAATATTTCATCACGACTTAGACATAAATGAAGGCATTTCTATAAGGAATGCAATGCTATGGATGTCCTCACTTAGTTTTTTTAACACAACAGACATCAAAACGTATCAGAAGATATCTTTATCAGACAGAAAACAGAAATAGAAAAACCTGTCTCTCACTTAAGTCGTTTAAATTAACCATAGACATGTTGTACTTGTACATACATACATTTTATTGGTTGACCTGACTTGAACTAAAATAGGGCGGACCCTGAAATTAACCAGATACGTACTATACTCTGTAAATACACGTAATGAATGCATTTAAACCCAAACATAATCGGAATTCTGTCTTTATATCCCGTTACAGCAAGTAAAACACATCTTTCTTGTCCTTTTTTTAATTTGTACTTAAAGACAAACTGCACATAACGTTGGTGAATTCTAACGAACTTTTCGTTTGTTTATTTACTTTAATGGTTTTTAGTTTCGTACTTTGAAGTGAATATAATTTCTTGAACTCACGATCAGTGTGTAATACACTGTGTCTAGTGTGTTTACTTTCATGGTTTAAAGTTTCGTACTTTAGAGCAAACATGGTGTCTCGTGTGGCACTTTTCAATTAAGTTAAATGCTTTTATCGGCTCCAGCGGTATCTAAACGGCCAGTTTTGAAAAAAGGCGTTAACTGTGTAATCCCATCATCGAAATGGTAAACTCTCCCTCCCTTGAAGTAGCAGTCATACTCCAGAAATCATTTTGGAGTTCCTTTCATCAAAGTCCCATCGGCCTTTGGTTAAAAAAATATTAATTTCATTTGAAATTACTTACATCTATCATCACGTACGGGTTCGAAATAAGAAAAAGGCATAGTGATATGTGCGCTTGAATCGATAGCGTTCAAAAACGGCCATGCATCAATGTTGTAAACGTGTTTGATAAATGACCCATCATTCTGAAATGTACAGAAAATCGTTTTTTATATATGAAATCCAACACATCTTTTTAGATAAATAGTTTATGTGACCCGTCATCTTTAGATAAGTGACGGATAACGAATTGATAAGGTCTGTAGATGCGGGAGTTATATAGAACAGCGACATGTTGTAATGCATATCGTGTAACTCGACCCGTTTTCGAGCGTGCATGTGCACAGTGCTGCTGCTGTTACCGGTGTGTGGTCACTGGTGTTGAATACAAGTCACGTGTGAAAGGGCTGTGGGTGGGGTAAGCCCCTGATACGCATTTTTTCCTGTTTGTCTAGTTGAAAGATCAGTGACTAGGGTAGTCTTTACCGGTGTTTGATTGAAAACGAGTTAATTCTTACAGTAAAGCCTTAACTTTTCCTTGATATCAAAGAGTAATTTAGATGAAACATTTTAATGTGCTATTATAACACAGTTGTATTTTGATCAAACCGCATGTCCATTGTCTTAATGCAATGTCACAATGCTATGACGTAATATTAGGTCTCTCCGACATACTGTCTGCGTTATTAGGTCTCTCTGCCATACTGCCTGCGTTATTAAGTCTTTCTGCCATACTGCCTGCGTTATTAGGACTCTCCGCCATACTGCCTGCGTTATTAGGTCTCTCCGCCATACTGCCTGCGTTATTAGGGACCAATTGTGGTGCCCATCATGCTAATATGTATCAGTGGGACTGTGTTTCATACCAACATAAATGTTGAAAATGAAAATCTTAAAACAATTCTTTTATATTCAGTTTAAAAATAACAAAATAAAACGAAAACTGCGTCTTTAATTGGTTTACTATTGACGTTAGTTATGAATAACGGAAAATCATTACCGACATGTGCAACAATTTTTTCTACTAAAATCACGAAGAAATATTAACAAAGAGTGATTGATGTTATTTCCTTGCTGAATGACATTTGTAACAGTGCCACCCGTCAGCTTGCTGGAAAATCAATTAAACAAAATATATTTTCAAAAATCAGATTTATACTGTTAACCGTCCACCACACATAAGAACTAGGCTGGGTACAGCGGAAATATTTCTTCAGGAAGAGGAAGTGGCTGAACTTTGACCCGTTGACATTTGGTTATTTATAGTGGCGTGCACCTTGCACGATAATTCATTTTCGGCAGAAATTATACAAAAACACCAGATTAAATCCTCCTAACGTACTGTTAATAGAAAGTTATTGGCTTTCCTCTGCGGATATCTGTAATGTAATTCTGCAACTTTATAGCAGAGGAACAGTAACTTCCTCTGCGAAGAACCACTTCCGTCTAACTAAGTGTACCTCGAGCTCTGAGCTGTTCGAATTCATTTAAACTTCACAGCGTCTTCAAGATGTTTATTTCTAAACTGTTCGTGAGTATTCAAATGTGATAAACCTGTTTACGGGTTCCTGGCAAGTTTAAATTCAGATAAAAATTTACACCAAGGGAATTTTGCTCGTTTGCTGTCGTAGTGTATACAGAGAAACGTAATGTGTACTGTTTCGTGAATATTGCAGTAAGGTGGGGTTCTGTGGAAAACTGTATTGACTAACTGAATGTTTAAATAAGCCCTAAGAAACCTTGTTGTGTGAGGGACCGTTAAACCCGGACAAACAAGCAGAAATCCATTACGTCGTACACATTGACTTCTAATGATTAATTTAGCGTCCAAAGGAGGTAGACTGTGCCAATGGAATATTAGTCCCCATGATTTGCCGTTACTTTGTAGTTTGAATTTACCTGGCACTGTTTAGTTTACAGTATTTTTGTCTTCAGTACGACTTATGAGTCTGATATGAATGAAATGGCGTTATGGTGCAGTACGTTTGGCCTTCGGAATTGAAATATTATATCTCCATATAGGCGCTTCTTTGTAGTACGACTGGTTACTGAACACGTGATGTACCGGTATGTCTAGAACAGCATAGCTTTAATGTGTAACACAAATTTATTTTCTGTGANGGGGGGGTCGCAGTATGGAATAACATCACGCGGTGTATTATGATGTCACGTCTAACACTGCATGATCTGTTGTTGATGTTATAGTACATGTAGTATTATGATAAAAACAGACAATCAGACCCTTGAGCCTGAGTTACCATTGATATCCGATATCTGGAGTTGTATTCTCAAATATAATCTGCTTGTTATTGGAACTCTACAATATACTGGAGAATTGTGCGTGGGGAATGATAATAAATAACATCAAGACATTTCGGTCTGTCTTTATTGATCAAATCTGAGCTAGACGCTGATTATTACAAGGGAAAAAACATTTTTTTGTTCCTTGAAAAACATACGAACTTCGTCTATGAGAAGGCCAAAATATTTTAAGGGGCGCAGGGGATAGATTTAAGTCGTAGACAATTAATAAGGAGACTTATTGTTTACGTAGTAGAGAGAAAACTAGAGATTGTTTTTATTGAATACATTGAACATCAGTTTTTGTCTCGACGTTTGAGATGTACAGTGTTATCGAACTCGTCAACAGTTGATTAAAATGCATAAGTCGTGTCTGAAAATATCCGAATAAATCAATGAACGGTACTTCCTGTTTGCTACATTAACAGTATCATTTGTGGTGTAAGGTTTTCACTTATCTGTGCTTGCTCGACTTCCGCTGTTAATTCTACCAATATACTGTATCTGTTTCATTTGAAACGGACACCAAACCGGAAACGT